AAGCAGAGTACGGATCCCAGCAGGGTTTGATATAGCACATAATAGCCAGCGATACATTCACCAGAGCCTGTAACGGTCCAGGGCGGCCGACTCTCACGCAGTGTCTGTGACTCAAGCAAAAGACACTTTACAAAGGCCCTCACGTCTAACGCGTAAAATACACATTCATTATTTTGCATCATGAAAAGAAAAGACGATATTATTTATATAATAGGTTTACTGAGAAGCACGATGGTTATCTGCTCAAAATGTCAGATTCACTGTACATTACTGTACAGGGCGAGTCCGCTCAGATGATACTGAAAATTTTCTAATTTTTAAACTCTCATAAAAGAATTAAATACATGTTTTTCTTCAGAGGTTTGCTGAAATGTTCAATGTAATCATGTTCAAGATGACCCAGACTGTGACCATGTCCAATCTTTTACCATCTCACTCCAAACGAATGAACCTGATGCAGAGCATGTGTTGTGTAGCCTACAGCACAATAAAGCACCATTCAAAATACAATGAGTTAGTTAGTTGAAACAATTCCACGCTGAAAACATTTAACATTCAGAGAGGCTCGGCAAATATGCTGTAATCGCATGTGTGGAAACTTTTGTTTCAATGAACGATGCAGCAGCAGTTCAATGTTGCTTTTCTTTAGGTCAGATCCGGCCGTGAAGGAAGTCCAGAGAAAGAAGGACAAATACTCAGATGATGCGCAGTAAAAAAACTAATTAGGTGTAAAAAGTTCAATGCACCACTGCATGTTCAAGTAGCGCTCAGACAGTTTTCCGGCGCAAAGCGCATGGCACACATGTGGGAGGTGTTCTTCAAATGAGGAAGCGCAAAGTCAGTGGTTGAGGGGGAAGCGTGCGTCTTGTACTTTGCGCTGGTAGTAGTGGTGTAAGCGCAGGCACAGTGGTAAAGCGGTCTACAATGATCTGCAGACGGCTGCACCATCTATCAAATCAAACAGGTGATTCTATCCGATATCTGTCGTCTGTCCGAGGTGCTCGGGAGGTTGTGCTCTTGTCGCACCTGCGCGCTGCGATGACGGAGTCGCAGTAATTCAGCAGAAAGCCTCACACACGAAACTAAACGAAGATCCCAACACTGCATTGTCATCTTTAAATATAGCAGAATTCTGACAGAATAGCAGGGTTGATGTGATCATACGAACTGCTTCACCAAACCACTTTTTCAGTATGTGACTCTGTCATCAATTGTACTAATTAACTGTTAACACCGTCTGCCTCTGGCGGCAGATGTTCACATCGTGCTGCTCTGCCCCGTCCACAGGCCAATCCTCCACTTGTTGAGCCGTCATGCATCACTGTGATTGGCTCAGCCATTCCACAGCAATGAGGCCAGTGATGTGACTGGCTGAGAGCATATTTATTAATCCCCACACCCTCTGATCTATATTCACCTTAATGCAGCCCATTTACACTTCTTGCTGCTGCACATACATGAACCAAACTAGCGCTTGGAGATGCCCACATAATAATACGTGTGCCCTAAACCTCCCGCTGTGTGTTTGTCGTTGCCTTAGCACAATTAAAATAGGGCCCTAAGAATCTACTGACGCTCTCCGGGGCTAACATGGTGATGTTAAGCAGGTATCATTTCCAGTTTGGAGATGAAACGGATGAGACATCTGGTGCTTTTCTCTAAGTATCATAAAAAACATGGTGCTGAATGAGGGACCTTCCTTCCAAATTCAAAGAGCAGGTTTGAAAAGTCAGATACCCAAAGAGCACTAGAGAGACAAACACTGTCCTTGTGGACGGCTTGGCAGTAGTCACGGCAGTGTGTGGGTGTTTTACTGCATTATACCTGAAGAGCCACTGAGGGCCAACAGGGAAAGAAATGCTCTGCTAACCTCAATGACTCTTGTAACAAGCTGAAGTGGGATTTCTTTCTGCTGCCTCTCAAGAGCCTGTCTTTTATTACTAGCAAGTAAACAGAAGCAAATAGACCTGGAGTGTGGTGTGAATTAGAAAAGCTGGAGGTAGTGTACACCTAGCTAAGTGCATTAGGAACACACTTTAAGTGCTTCCCTCTGGTGCTCATGGGGGGATTTCTAAAGAGGTAGAGGCATTGATGAGAAACTGTTGTTTTTTTTCTCAATAAGGTTAGTGCTTACACTTCCTTGGCTTAAGAGCAAGGCCTGGGAAAGCAAAAGATTACATCACAAATAAGAGATTCAGCTCAAACTCCACAGACTGCACGGTGCACCCCCTCGCACTGAATCCCTATTACCACCACGAGTTCTTAACAAGATAACACAATTCAGTGTATTCATAATGAACGACAACAAATATTAAGTCACCTTTTGTTCATAACAGACATGTTTCAAGTCCCTGTAGAATATTTAAGCACATTATCAGTACAATAACTTCCTCCAAAGAGATTCATGGAAGACTGGGACTCTAATCAGAGAATGTGTGATGTTGTGAACAGCTGTTGCCAGAGATATGACACGATATCTTATTTTAATATGACTTTAAGGGGATGAAGAGCCTCCTCGTTAGCTGTGATCCTCTCAGCTTCTTGTTCAAAAAGATATTCAGCGAATCCTTTGCCAACATGAACTCACAGCCACTTCCTGATTGGTGATTGGTGTGTGTGTGACTGGATGCCACGCTTTAGTGTAAAACTTGCAGGCTGCTCCGAGTCTATAGATAGATCTGCTGTTTACATTGTCTGGATGAACGTTCTGTCTCACATTCACCACTTAATCCGCTCAGTCTGTTTGATATATTGCAATGCAATCAACTCGTTAATGGACTGCAGCATGAGAGCTTGTGTCTAATTACAAAATGAATGTCATCAGCAGGTCTTTCCAAAGTAGCTGACGATTGTCGGCATCACACAACGAGCTCATGGTGTTTCGTGCGCTCGGTGCTGGAAGGCGGCACAGCGGTGTTTGCCGGTGAAAACAAAACTGCTCTGTGATTTCGCCCTCACTTGCTTCAGGCATCTCTCACAACGTTTGGGAAACCGCAGCAACACAACAAACTACTGCAGAGCGCTTCATAAATGCCTCCACAACACACACAGAGACTTTGTGGATGCAAGTCACTCACACCTCTGTAGATAAAAGATTACAAAACACAGTACATATTATCTACCAATCTGCATGGTATATAATATTCCCTCTTTACAATATTAATGTCTTCCCATGTCATTATTTATGTCACTCCTTGGTAATTCTTTCTTATGTACAAGATCATTCTGGTTGCTCATACAGGAGTGGATGACTGTGTATAGAGGCAGGAGACTACCTTAAATGTTAATGTAAATGTTAATACCAAAAATATATTTATTACCACTGTAAATCATAGGCCATCTTACACTGTAACTTCTGTATTCTGATGGTTTTATATTTCAGCATAATGTGTGCAAAGCTTGAAACCTCTGCCTCGGTTCTTCAGTGTGACTCTTGAAGGTTTATGTAATTAATGGTGCAGTCTGTCGGGAAGGCTCTTGTTTTTAGTGTGGCAAGACTGCCCTCTGGTGAATCGCCTCAATATGTCTATTAGGATGTGATGGTAGTGGCACAGCTGTGATAATATGGATTCATATGTGGGGTAATAAGTGCAGTGAGTGAGTGGTATAAAAGTAAAGAAGGAAGTCGCCTAAATAAGGCTCTATAACAGTCTGTTTCAGATATAGTAACTCGCTGTCATACACCGTGTGGGTATTAAATGTTAAACTCAAAAACAACGGTATTGAAAATACTTTCGGCCCTTTAACAATCTCTCCAAGTACAGTATTAGCCACATGCATAAGATATAGTCAGGGGTAGTGTTATATGTGAGAGAGCAATTGCAACAGAAAGCTGTGTGCAGTAAGATGCTTTTACGAAGTGAGCCACAAATATAAGAACAGAGGCTCTGTAATTCAAGATGATTCTGGAATATGTACAGACAGTGAAAACAATTCCAAAGACTATCCATCGCTCCTAAATATGACAATGAGACAAACCAGTGAATGCCTGTTACTAGTCCATGTCCAAAACTGACCACAGTCAAGACAGGACCAAGCCTGAATAAGGATTTTAACAGTCTCCATCCAATATTGTTATTCAACCTAAAGAAACCACTCAGAAAAATAACCTACTGAATTTAAATGTGCAGCATCAGGAAATCACCAGTGGAGCAGTTTACTCCAAAATATGGAGCAGCCTGTAATCATATATGTGCTAATGTAGCTCTACTTCTAAATGAGGTCGACTGATCCTCTGAATTACACAGAGCATGCAGCATGACTGCCATCTGACAGAACCACTCCAGGAAGTCACAAATGACTCACTTCACTTGGCCTCACTGGTTGCACTTGATGCCAATGAAATGAACCCCATGCACAGATAAGAAAAAGTATCAGAATAATTTCATATTCTCTGATCAAGGACATACAACTATAAAATATACTTCAGAATATTAAAATAATCTCTGCAGACTTCCCCCCTCTATTCCACACACACACACACACACACACACAGGTGCACACAATCAGGGCCATGGAGCTTTAAGGACACCGATTCCTTCTGGGAATTTTCACAACCCAGTACTTGATTGTACTGAAATGTAGTTTTGGACTGCATTTCAAACTTTTAAAACATATAAAATAAATAAATAAATTACGCAGTATTTCTCCATCTGCACTTTATTCCCACTTGAAGGGGCGAAGTCTTTGAAACAGCTTTTATAACTCCATGTTAAGAAAAGAATAGGCCTTCGATTTTTTTATTTCTTTTCTCTACATAAGTTAATTTACTTTGCCTGAAATCTTGAGTAACTTAAGTTAGTAAGTGGGAGTTAAAGTGAAGGGTTTTTTTACCTTTTAACTCCAATGTGACTTCCTCGTCAGCAGCTACACGCGCTGGTCTCCTCTCGCCGGACACTGGAGCGGTCTCTCTTCCTCGTTCGCCTCCACAGGTGTGGATGCATTTCCACTGGCTTTTTATTCATGACCAAGTCTACGGTCTAATGCAATTACATTTAGTGCTTTGCCGACTTGTGGTCGTAAACGTAACACTTCCGCTACTCTCCTCCTCAGAGTTAACGCGTGTCGAGTCTAATAAAGCCGGTTCGCAGTGACATTAGCGAATGCTGAAGTCGAAATTATCTCAAGTATCACAAACTTTCAAAAATCGCGAGAACCAGGGACGGGCGGGAGAAAACAGAGTACACCGTGAACATAAGAGCTGTCAACGAACTCGTGCTGACCGGAGACTGTAAGAGGCTAAACGGGAGGCCAAAACACGAGCGTCTGAGTCTGGAAACCCACGAGAACAAGACAAGTATGAGACGAAATACAGAGCATCTGGATACCAGACGAGATTTAGATTTCCAACCAAGTGATAGACGGACACAAGTTGCATGCATACATGATGCAGAATGATGACCCCTTTGCCCCAAATAAACCTCGTCAATGAAAGGGTTTCTTAGTTTTACTACAAACAAACGGTACAAAAGCTCTTTATTTCAACATTTTCCAGTGGCTGAGAAAAAGTCACAGCTTAGAAAAATATGCCTGTAAAAAGGTTAATAAAATGAACCCATTCAACATTATGTATTTAACTTTCTACAAACTGGCAGAGCACATGAACATACATTTCTAAATAAATTGCAAATCATGATTTATTTACAGGGTGTCAAATGGTGGAGAATGGATTCCTCAGTCCAGACTGAACATGGATATACATTACAACAATCATACATTGTCTGAAAGCCAGTGACAAAGGAGACATCGGCCCATGTGTTCAAGGTGAATGAATGCGTGTCGACAATAGCCCTCTCAGCAATACGAATGTCTTTCAGAGGCAGTGTTTGGAGTTGTTAGTTTAAGTCCAGTCCCCTCCTCTTCCTCGAGAAGATGCGTGTCTATAGTCCATGAAGGGTGGAGCTAATGATGTCCATGAACGTGGCCTCTACACAGTAGCAGAGCTGGACATCAGGGTCAGCTCCACCATGTTCCTCTGCTGTCCTCTGGGGTAAAGTCAGCTTGGAGGAACCTCCTCCTGGAGCCGCACCCCCCTGAGGCTTCTCCTTCAGATACTGCAGGCCTGAGGCAGGAACATGACAAACGTCTTATTAATGTCACGACTTAAACACTGTTAGACCATTTACACTATACTCTTTGTCATATGTCCTCATTACATTTTTAAGATTCAGACTGATCTAGAAATATTCTTCATCATATGTCACGTCCAAAAAATGTGTAAACATCAGGGCACATGCACAATGTAACTTCTTATTTTTTCTGTCCATGTGGTGTTATCATGCAGAGCTTCTGAATAAATGGACATCGCTTTTCAAAATCTACACACTTTATACATATCTATAATTAGAGGTTTCCAGAGTCAATCTGCAAGATCAGTATTTAAGGCTAATAAGGCTTTATTTGAATTTTTTATAATTGGATGTGATCTGGCACACAAGGATGCATTTTCTTAATGAAATATTGATCAACGTTGGATTAGCTTATCAAATGGAATGTCGGCCTACTGTAAGTTACATGTGCTGATACATTATGTATAGTTTCCTTTTATTAACCGGGACATTCTTATCCGTTTTATTTAGTCTAGCCCCACGAGTCGGTAAAGGTCCCAGTTAGTTACAGTAAAGGTCAACCAATATTACCTAATGACAAATTCTATACTTACGCGCGATAAGCGGGTCAACGTCCCTGGCTTTGGTGGTAACATCGGAGGCACAGACCTGGCCCACTTGTACTAGCAGACCTGCGACGTCATCATAGAGCGGAGGGAAGGCCTGGCAGAAGGCCACCAGGCATGGCAGGATGGGCATGAAGAAGGAGAAACGCTTGGCACGAGTCAGCACTAAAAAGACAGAACGCACGGTACACAAAAGAACTGCGTGAACAACGAATGCAGTGGCAAATAGGCTGGTACACAGTGTGCACTTATGCAGTGGAGAGAGGATGCTGCACTAACAGCCGGAGGACAGATGGTGGCAGCCAAATATAGGGATACAATTATGAAGACATACTGTATCACAACAGCTGATACAACGTGTACAGACTGCACTGCGAGTTACGGTATACAGCGAGTCTACTGGAAGCAAAGTCAATGATGGGGACACAAAAAGTAGATAAAAAAAAAAAAAAGAAGTATGATGAGTGAAAGAAGCCAAAAGCAAAAGCATGAATGTATGAGATGTAAAGACAAGCAACAGTTCAGTTCACTGACCTGTGAGGAGGGTGCCCATGACACTGATAGCCAACCTGGCCACACTGAGAGACTTGGGTAGAGCGTACTGGGTGCACAAGTACGACAGCAACTGGATTGCAAAGATCTGTGTGGACACATAGGTTTAGAACAGCTACAGATTTATCACCACATTTTTATGGAGCAAATATGCAAACAGAGAGCACCCAATAGAGCGGCTTTAAAAAAAACTAAACATGTATGTGTAAGAGAGGCTCTGGCACAAGCCCAGGGCCAGCAACAATTCAAAGCCAGGAAAAAGAGGGGAGGGCTCACCTGCTTTTCCAGCTGGGGCTGGGCCAGCAGCTCTGGGATGAAGTCCAGACAGATATGGATGGAGGGGATGCCTGCCACAGTTAGAGGCAGCAGACCTTGAGGGTAACCCTGACAGAGAGAGGCACAGAAGATGGAGGAAGCAGGAAATATAAATCTTAGAATGAAGAATGGAGGGATAAGGAATACACAGTAAATTCATTCAAGGTATCATTTAAGCACACACGTACGTTTAAATGGAACACGTGTGTGTAAATACAAATGCACACGGCAGCTTCTGCTCGGCAGTGTGGATTGGTGGGTGGGTGGGTGGATTAGAGTGGATTGATGAAGTTCACCATATGGCTGTCTGCTACTTTTGGGAGTGCTGCAGTCACTTACCACTAATGCCATGGCAGAATGTGATGACTAATGGGGTCAACATGACTCGGAGGTATTTTCAGTAATGTGGCACTATCCACTCAGCGACTCACACAGAGGGTATTTGCATGATCACATTCATTTCTAACGGCAAAAATTTGGAGGGGAGCAAGAAAATCTAAGTATGCAGTAATGTGAGAAGAAAGAGCCTGAACAACACGTGCCCGTTAGCTTTTGATTCAGACCTGTCACAACACTCAATTATCAATTCATTTCAATTGGCTTTAACAGCATGACGTCTGACGTGCTGCCAAAGCACAATTCTGATTATGAAATACAGTGAATAACATCAACAAAAGCTAAATAAAACGGAGTGAGAAACTAGTGAATAACAATTTTATATAATAGAATAAAATGGAAAATAATCGGGTACTTTTGTACGCCTCTTTTGTAGCGGAAGGAACCGACATATTTAGCAGCAAACACTGCTCATTCTTTCTTCTGAGGGGTAATTTCTCCCTTTCTGCCACACTTTGGAAATCAGGGCAATTCTCTTCAGATGTTGGGAAGAATTCCTCCCTGATACTTCTGTAGTTGGGACATTGTGTTAGAAAGTGTAATACTGTCTCTACAGCTCCCTCATCACAATGACAGCACAGCCTGTCTTCTCTGTGTCGGACCGTCTCTATTGACAGACTGTGGTGAGTCTGTCTTGTGCCCCAGTATTCTGTCTGTTTAGGGACATATATATGTTTCTAGTTTATGTTGCGAGTGTGTAATATCATTCCAAGTGATGATTTTTGGTTTTCTTTGCACCGAGAGAATACTTTTGCAGAGCTCTGCATGCAGGATTTCAACTGAATTGTTGTCCAATCATTTTGTAGTAAGGGACCCCATATCTCACTGCCATACAATGCAATCGATACTATAACTGATTTACATATTTTGAGCCGTGTCCTAATTGGAATTTGGATATCAACTGAACACACGACGACATAAAAGCCCTGTTTGCTTTCTCTTTGAGTTCCTTCACGGCAGAGCAGAAGTTTCCAGTGACTCCAGTTTGTAAACTGGAGTCAGTCTAGGTATTTGTCTGATCTATTATAAATGTTGAGTTATTTCTCTGTAACCTTGATCTTTTCTGGAATATCTCTCTCTTTTATGTTTGTGACTCTGTAAACCTGCCAGCCTTCTGACTGTCACAGCAAAACAAAAAAAGATCAAGTGTACAGTCCACTTCATCGTCTTCACATTGCGTTACCTGAAAGTGGACCAACTTGGCAATGTTAGGGTCAGCAATGAACATCTGATGCAGCAGACAACAGATGAGACATTGCACTTCCCTCAAGTCACTGAGTAGGCCTCCCTCTGGCTTGCCGTCCTCCACGCCCCCTCTGGCTCTCGGCCCCAGGCTTCTCTGTTTCGATTTCCCTGCCAAGGGGGCCCTAATGCTACTCAGCAGGCTCTCTGTGTTGGCCCCCAGCTGCTGCTGCTGCTGCTGCTGCTCTTCGGAAGTTGGCAGACACACTTCCAGGAGAATTTGAACTGCTGCGCTGTCCTGAGGTTAAATAGAAAAGAGATGCTACCACGGTTAGATGTGAAAGATAATCTCTGACATATTTGTTTGGTGCATATTTGGTGCATATTTCGAGCCATATTATTTCTGCACCATGCTTCACAAAAAACCCCACGACGTGAGATTATGAAAAAGAGTCCTCTTTTAAAGAAGTGAAGTCTGAGTTTGTGAGAGAGACAAAGTGCGTCTGTGTTGGTGGTTGAAATACCTGCGCAGCGAGAAGGGCGTTTTTCAGCTCCTCCCTGGTGACCTCGGGTGTGTCTGGCTGTCCGGGCACGCCCAAGTTTGAGACCGTCTGGCTCTGCCGATCGAAGTCAGCCGTCTCCTTCAGGTGACAGTGTAGGTAGGCTTTTGAGGCCAGCAGGTAGCCATTCAGCATGTGAAGCACAATGTCCATCAACGGAGGACACCTTGCAAAACAAATGTTTATATTTGAACCTGCTATTTTATTTGTACTGAACGTGCGTCCATGTGCTGTATGCGTCCATGTACGGCCCTTTAGAATACGTGCCGTAGTTACCTGTACACCCGTTGATCACAGCGCAGCACGATGAGAGGGTCCACCATCAGGTCATTCTGAGTGTATTGCTGCTGCCTGAGCAGCTTAGCTGAAGGTTGGAGGGCGTTTACCGTCATCACCCACAACCTGCAACACAGACACCAGTTTCAACTTTTCCCCCTTATCACTCGTTTGCTGCTGCTTTTTTTTTGCCCAGCGCTTGGAATAACAAAGAATTTAATTTCAAATTGAGATGTCAAAGATCGGTTAAGTCTAACATTTGAAAAGAGTGACAGCTCAGAAAGAGACATTATTGCAATTTTTAAAAGATGATCGTAAATTGCTGGTTGACAAACTATCGTACTCATCCAGATTAACAAATCATAAACTGTCAATGATTTTTTCCAATGGATTTATTCTATTTTGATGCTTCTAAAATATGAGACTCACTTCAGTAGGGGTTTGATTCAGTTACTCACAAATTAGCCTGTGGCAGCTTTTCACCCTCAATCTCTCTTATCAGACCGATGCTAAACTATGAACAGCAGGGTACGATGTGAACGCCAAGCCTTCCTGCAGCTCTCCGCATTGGCATATATCAGTGGATCTGTGTGAAATTTGACACTGCTCCCTTCCTGCTGGGTAAATCAGAGCCCAGCCCTCTGCAACATTCAATACTATGAGAGGGCGTGAGGAAGAGAAGAGTGGAGGAGGCAACAATCCCTTACATCTCCCTCATGGAGAGTCTCCCTCAGTTTTCTTGCCCTGAGCTCTTCTGCTTACAGAACACTTTTGGATCGATGGGATGTCTGCTCAGAGCTTTGGTAACTGTGCTCCTGTGGGCCCTGGGGCAGGGTGAGGGTCGCCCTTTTCTGTCCAGAGAGTTTGCTCAGGCTGACAGAGATGTTTGGCTCAATACCTCTGATCTATTCACACAATAATCAGTGAGCGAGCAGCCTCGGGTGAAGGGCAACAACTCTTGTTCCACAGGTCTCCCTTTAATCCATTTACCTAGTCTCACAGCAACTTTACACAGCCACCAAGTCAAGCGCTACAGTTAACCTTTCACTGAAAATACATACAATTAAAAATCTAACCAGCTGGCAAAAGTATCACTTAATTCATGGATTGGATATTTATATTTTTCTTATTACATTCAGCAAAATATCTCAAATGCTAATGAGTGAAGACAAGATACTACATCTGGACTATTGATTGATTTTGAGCCCCAATACTCAAGTGATGACATTAATGTGAGGCCTCGAGGTAGAAAAGCTATATGCACTAGGTATATCAATTATATGGATCTTATGTGAAAGTTGAGGTAAACTAATTTAAATTCCAATTACCACAATGTATTTTTCCCATGTGACATTCAGTGGTAATCTCACTTGAGGCTGTCACTGTAGCCTTTTCTATCCTTTGACACAACATTGAATCGTGTCCGGAGCATGTACCTGCGGGGCATCACAGTGTTGAGGCCCATCCAGAGCTTGTTAAGTGTCTGCAGTATTCGGCGGGGCACAGCGGGCTCCAGCAGCAGAGCCATGCTGGCTGTGAGGGCCTCCGCATAAGGGATCAGGTCTCCAGGTGAAAGCAGCGTTAAAGGCTCCAGGATCCGCATCAGCCTGGGACTGCTGGATGGTAACTTCTGGAAGGCTGGGGGGGGGGGGGGGGGGG